ATAAATAAACATGCATAGTTTGGTCTTTGTGCGGACTTCGAATATTTTCCGTGATATAAAATTTAAATGCTGCGCACGTGGTGTGTTTGCAAGTTCCTGCAGCTTGAAAAAATGAATGGCCCCTACTTAATGCATCTCTACATTTATGCCATTTTATGGCTAGAACGCAAAGTGGATATTGTTTTTGAAATTCAGCATTGAATGCATCAATCCAACCTTTTCGTAAAGGCTGACCTCTGCCAACACAAAATTCTTCCCAAAAATGTTTGGAAAGAATAATGGGGCTTCCACAAACTGGTGTATCATTTTTTAAATATTTGTCCGTTTATACATGTGAAAAAGAAATATTATCGTCTATACGATCTGAAACTAAACCGTGTCTATCGTGCAGAATAATAGATGATGAAACGCGCTTATGATCCTTCTGTTCGTTGCTTCGTGAAGAATCTATTGAAAATAAAAGGTGCTCATCGCTATGAATAATTGGCGATGAAGCGTGTTCACCATATATTGATTCATTGTTTTCTGAAAGAATCGACAGCAAAAGATGCTGAGGTCTTTCGAGTCTTTGCTGTATGAAGAATCCGATAGCGAAATATCATTGTGAGAAGCATATTCTGTAACAATATCCTTATCTTCAATTATGTGGGAGACTACTGATTCTTGCGTTTGTTCACAAACTGTACGTGAATAGACATTTTGAATGATGTGGTCGCAATGTTGTCTAAATACGTAATAACATATTTTCTGGTGTTTTTTGATTGTGCGATCATCTGCATTGTATAAAATAATGCGACAAATATCTATCCATATACATTTAGTGGACTGTTTTTGCAAACGAGCAATGAAATCATAAATGTTGTCATGATATTTCTTATATATCTGACAAATAGCATTACAAATTGTATCAACAGATATAAGTGACCTGTGCGTTTTCATTGTTAATCAATAATTACTTGTCTTGAAGAAAATAAAAATACAAAAAAAAAGAATAAAAGAAGAAAATAGACGGATTATTGTGATAAAATGTTTTCATAAACATACTACAATTAATAAGCAAAAGTATAAAATATATCATCGCTAATGTAAATGTCAATTTGTAGTCACAGACTTAACCTGTGCCTTATTATAATGACATGAAAAGACGAGAGAAAAAATGTACATAAAGTACATTGATTAATATGGGAGTACTCTGAAGACAAATTTACAGCGGAGAAGGAAACAAAACAGAATAAACACTCGCAGAGAAAATCTTTCGGCGGGTCACCTCTAGATCGATCGTGCTGCTCAATAGATTAATACGTGGTAGGGCGACGATGCATGGTGGGGAGCGAGGCATGTGATGCGCGCATGCCTCGTCTCCCCACCATGCATCGTCGCCCTACCACACATTGATCGATTGAGCAGCGCGATCGATCTAAAGGTGACCTGTCACAAATATGAATCTAGAAAATGATGAGCCCATGCTTCGCGAAGATGAGAGGTCTCCAGAACGGTCCGAAAAATGCAAACCATCCAGATATGTAGATAACATTGCAACAGCGGATGAAGTTTTGTTCAATAAAAATATGACATACCCTCAAGGGTTTCCTAATATAAAAAAAGACATCAATGGATTTGTCATTGAACCACAAAGCTTCAAAACATTGATGCCATTTAAAAGTAATGACGAGTATTTGGATGACAATGTCATAAATGCGTTTTTTAGTTTTTTACCCAACATCGCGAAAAAAAAAAATTTCTCTATTATCTGCTTTGATACGTACTTCTGTGAAAATATTTTAAGACAAGGGTTCGTAAGCAATGAGTTTCACAAGTGGGCATCTGCAATCGTAGTAATAAATTACCCGGTATGGCTCATACCTATTCATCATGCAGATCACTGGACATTAGCAGTGATAGTGCACCCACGAAAAACAATTGTGATATATGACTCATTGCATGGAAATCCTAATGAAAAGATATTTGGTGGAATTTGTGATTTTATAGAGGAATATATCAATATAAATTCATGGGACGACTGGACTTTGCACACCCTAAAAGACGTGCCCACACAAAAGATGAATAATAATGATGTAAGCGGGAATTGTGGTGTACATGTCTGCACTTGGGGATACATCCTTGCATCCGGATCGTACACATCATTTTGCGAAGAAGATATGTCCGCTGCCCGCAAAGGTATCGCCAATTACCTTGTAAATGGAGTATCTAATAAACAAATAGAGAAGAAAGTCACAAAATACAGAAACATCGTATTATCAAACAACGATAAACATACCCGCGAGGGTATAAAGTTCAATATGAAAGTATTACAAAAATCAGACAGTTCTCCATTTCATTTCACAGATGTGTTTCAGTTCACATCATCGTTACACTTACTGATGCAAAAAGAGGTGTTGCATCCACAGACCCGAAGCCATAAAAAATAAATGTAAAGACAAAAAAGAAAAGTAATAGTAGGAAATAACAAAAAAATTAAATAAGTTTTAGAAAAGGAAAAAAAATTTTAAAACATAAAAACATAAAAAAATTAAAAACCTTAAAAATTATAAAAACAAAAAAAGAAAGACGGAATCGAAGTCCGCCACGTCCTCGTCGTGATTTTGGATTTGACCGAGAGCGGACACAACAGATATGTGATTTTTTTCAAGTCGCTACGAGTTTGCGTTTGGTCTGGCTGCTAGATTGTTAATAAATGTTGTTTAATTTTTTTAATAAACAACGAGGTACTTAACCGGTTAAATCGGGGTGTCATCGTTTTGTACTCGCCTCGTAGAGTATGTGTGATTTTTTTCAAGTCGCTACGAGTTTGCGTTTGGTCTGGCTGCTAGATTGTTAATAAATGTTGTTTAATTTTTTTAATAAACAACTAGGTCCTTAACCGGTTAGATCGGGATGTCATCGTTTTGTACTCGTCTCGTAGAGTATGTGTGATTTTTTTCAAGTCGCTACGAGTTTGCGTTTGGTCTGGCTGCTAGATTATTAATAAATGTTATTTAATTTTTTTAATAAACAACGAGGTCCTTAACCGGTTAGATCGGGGTGTCATCGTTTTGTACTCGTCTCGTAGAGTATGTGTGATTTTTTTCAAGTCGCTACTAGTTTGCGTTTGGTCTAGCTGCTAAGTTGTTAAATGTTATTTAATTTTTTTTATGAACAATGAGGTTCTTAACCGGTTAGATCAGGATGTCATCGTTTTGTACTCGTCTCGTAGAGTATGTGTGATTTTTTTCAAGTCGCTACGAGTTTGCGTTTGGTCTGGCTGCTAGATTATTAATAAATGTTATTTAATTTTTTTAATAAACAACGAGGTCCTTAACCGGTTAGATCGAGGTGTCATCGTTTTGTACTCGTCTCGTAGAGTATGTGTGATTTTTTTCAAGTCGCTACGAGTTTGCGTTTGATCTGGCTGCTAAGTTGTTAATAAATGTTATTTAATTTTTTTTATAAACAACGAGGTCCTTAACCTGTTAGATCGGGGTGTTAT